ATACAAGCTTTTACAATCGTTTTATTTGCTTTTTAGTGGTCCCCATAGGAAAGTACTGTGGGGGCGTACGCGCGTGACGTAATAAGAAAGGAATTCGGGGGAAGGCCCAAATATGGGCATACAAGCAGGTGTGGTCATGTTTGCAGATGTGGCTGTTGATTGGCTGTTGGCTAATTAATTTATTTACTACCATTTTCACGTACCAGCGCAGCTGGTCCACGCGGTCTCGGCCGTGGGCCATGATACTCTGATACTGGATACCGATTCGTGTGATTCCTATAAACATTTCACCTAACTACGAACTAGTTGGAAGAATTATAGCTGCATGGATGCCTGTATATGATTTTAACAAACACTGAAAATCTGACGCAAAAACTGGCAGATATTTTGCTCTTCTCTGTTGGAACAACGCAAGCGGGAGGTCAATGACCTGCGCCCCGCGAGTACTGTAAACAACGGTACGTAATGTGTATCGTCGGCGCACGCGCGCGCGCCACGGTATCAACAATTTTCCACAATCTTCACCGACTAGTATTATATATTCTGTTATCGATTTCTGAAGAATCACCAAAATTGTAGAGTGTATCTCCTAGAAAGTCCCTTACTAGTACTTGAAGCGATCGTTACCGCCATGTTGTTCACTTTATATGACATACAATGCAGAGAGTAATGGAAACGTGTCCAGATAGCTCGGTTGGTAACGCGCAGGGCTGCAAGTCCAGACATTACGAGTTCGAACCCCAGTACACTGGATATTTTTAATTATCCTTTTTACAATTTTTAACAATTTTAACATTTTTAACAATTTCAACAATTTTAACCATTTTAACCATTTTACATTTTAACAATTTCAACATTTAATTTTAACATTTTCGTTTTAATATCCATTGCTTTGCTTTTAACATTCCAAAACTGATTGTTCTTACTCAAGAATTTCAATAACTTCGAATGTTAGTCTTTTGTATTTTTTCAACATACAAACCAAAATCACTTTGATGTTGTCACAAAAGTAACATCTGTGCGCGCATCGGTTTTCGTTCATTTAAAAACTACAAGTACAAAACATCTGGAAACTAAGCAAACATACTCAGTAAATTGATTGCTGTAATTCCCGATTTTTTTTCACTGTACCGCAACGCAAGCGGGGGGTCAATGTTCACGGTTTTCACTGTCACCTCTGTATTGTGAACTTATCATTACAGTTAGGAATAATTCCCGGACTTTCTTTTTCCTGCAACTGTCACCACCGTGAATATATACTTCCGTGAACATGTCCATTTTTCTCAGGCCGTGAAAATTTTGCTTCCGTTAGTAGTAGTTACAATCTCGTCAAAAGTGTAAAGTAAAGCTGTCGAGATTTAAAGTGCGTGTCGTTGTATCTTTGTAAAAAAAAGGGAGATAATTGCCAAGTGCCAGTTTTGTAAATACCTGTCGAGATTCAAACAGCTTGTCCTTGTATAATTGCAGTATGATTTATTTAGAATCTCTCATTTTTGTTTGGGGAAGGGTATGGAGTGAAATTCCTACATTTGCTCCGAAGCAAATGTTGGCCTTTCTAGTTTAAACGGATTCAGCTTCTTCATTTTAGGGCCTAAGGTCCTGAAATTTGGTATGGAGGTACAGTGGGCAAATACCCCTAGGCGTTTTTTAAATTTTGTGATACAGGCTGATGGTTTTATTTGAGTTTTTTGGCTGTGTTATAGCAAATGTATTACTGTGTTAGTGTGCCGTGTTTACCACGTCTGGGCATGAGTCATCACAATGGAATGCAGGGCATCAACCAATAGGCATGCAGCTTTCCTCTATACTTCTTGCTGATTGGCTGTTGGGATTTAACTTGATTAACACCTGCACAGAGCATTTCCACCTGCACAGAGCATTTCTTGCTGATTGGCTGTTGGGATTTAACTTGATTAACACCTGCACAGAGCATTTCCATACTGACAGTATGTCTTTATTCAAGTGTTTTGGTAGGTATTTCAAGCTTTTCTGCTCCAGCATTGGAATGCGGGGCATGAACGTTTTTTTTTTTTTTGAAAATCAACAGTTTGCATTATGCAATTAAAAATCCTAACCAATAAAGTAGGGAATAGCTATCCAACTGTTGTTTTAGTTGTATGTTACTTCATATTATAGTTATATCAATGTAAATCATTGTTTTCCCTTGTGTTTCTCATTCTTTCCCTGCCATGTCGTAAAATGTGGTGAACCCATCGCTGTATTTGCTCCAAAGCAAATATTGGCCTTTCTAGTTTCATTTGTACTTACGTGTCTGTCTGTTTGTTTAGTTATAGACCTTACGAAAGTCACTAAGTGTCAATAAAGTTCTCTGTATAATCAAATCAACATGGCCTTATTACCCTTTCAAGGCTTCTCTTTATTGTCAATATTATGTCGATTTATCGCCAAACAAATTCTGTAGTTTACGTAGAAATCAGCAAGAAGAACTGTATTGCATAATGAAAACGCAGCTGAGTATTTGTATTTTACAATGGAGAACAAGTAAGACCAACAGAGCCATGCAGGTTCTGTTTTAAATGTTTGTCTTTCTTACAGAAAACAAGAGCTGCCCATCTGGATGGATCCTTAATCCAATGTTTAGTTCCTGCTACCTGTTTGTGAACGAAGACGAGACGTGGGATAAGGCACAGTCAGAATGTAGCCAGAGGGACGCAACTCTGACCAGTGTGACGTCTGCAGAGGAGCAGGACTTTATTCTCGGTAGGCTCTCCTCTGAATTAAATCATCTATAAAGTCATTCATGTATTTGTATTTTTCATGCATGTCTTTCAACTTTTGGGTAGGCATTTTAACCATGTTTCATTGCTTCATTGTCGAACAATTTTCTACCACAGGTCACTGTAACACAAATGTGAATATTGGTTTCAATGATAAGACAACAGAGGGAACGTTCACCTGGCTGGATGGATTGCCCACTGTAAGTTACTGTATTTACAACACTTTTATATCTCCATGAAGTAATTGGAGCCTTTATAAATGTTGCTATTTTAATTTTTCATTACGTTTGGAAATAAGGTTGTAATTAGCATAATATTTTCAATCGGCGGTCTCTACTCACAGCCATAGTATTTTCATATTATGTTTAAAGTTAAAACTTCAGCCATGCTGCCTGGGTGGCCAGTGTATTGACATGTTACAATTGAATTAAAATAAAATAAGACTTTTGATCCAACACAAAAAGTTCAACACAGACGGACTTTCATGATATTTTCGTATTAGTTATGCAAATTAGTCACAGATGTTCATCATCATAGCTTGTCGCTATTTCTCAGATGTTAAGTTATGCTGAACATAAATATGGAGGCAAAAATGTTTTATCTAGCACTATAAAATAAACACGTGACCAACTGTCTATAATGTATTTAGTGGAAATGAAACTTGAAAACTTTGTCGTTTTCAATCATGCAGACATTTTCCAACTGGGAACCAGGAGAGCCCAGCAATGCCGGAGGGAACGAGGACTGTGCTGAGATTGTTCACGACACAGGTCTGTGGAACGACGTGCCATGCGGCCAGTCCTGGTCCACACGTGGGTATGTCTGTAAACGGCCTGCAGACGAGGTGGCCCTGCCAACTGTGCTGCCCACTTCAGGTGAGGAGTCTTTAAAGTTAAAGCATTTGTTCCAACACTAATAATTGGTCTCGGCTTAAAGCTTCCGACCAGTCATTCTGGTCTTCTTCAATAGACTGACCCAGTGAGACTTGTCACGTGGCTTCTCTGAAATGTGACGGCACACTTAGATTATTCAAATTTCCATTATGCAAATGACTTCCATATTTGCATCATTAATGAGAAAATATTACAATATTCAATTTTTTTAAATTATAGAACTAGTTTCTTGTTACACATGTAACATATGTAATCACTGACAGATAGAACATTTTCAAATACTAATTATGCAAATGAAATAGTAAATTGTGTAAGTGTAAGTAAGTTAAAACTAAATATTACTATATACAAATTATGTAAATGTAGAGGTCATTTGCATGATAAAAAAGAAGAAATTCTGCCAATTTCCACACATACAAAATACGGGGACTATAAATAAAAATAGAGGTAAGAAAGTACAGCCATTTCTTTACTTTACAGCATGGACTAGTGACAAGTGTCCAGCAGGCTGGAATGAGGATCCAATGGGAGACTTCTGCTACCAGATCAACAGCGCCTCCCTCCGGTCCTGGCGGGAAGCAAAGGAAGCATGCATACAAAACGGGGGAGACCTTCTCAGCATCACGACTCCTCATGAGCAGTTCTACATTACAGGTAATGCACACGTCTCAAAACTGAATCATTAGTAATTAAAATCTGGTGACTAAAATTCAATTTGCGACTTTCTGATCTTATCATGCTTCCGTCTCATGGTCATTTATTGACTGACTTGACTAGTCCGCCATCTCAGATGTTGGAAATGACATCATCAAATTAGTATTAAGTGATATAGTATAAAGTATATTAGTATGAAGTCGCTATAAAGTGTTAAAATGCATTTTTGATGACATGTAATGCATATATCAGTAATGTTAACGCAATTTCACCTTGCAACCCTGTAGGACTGTTGTCCTCTGTCAGTGGGATGGCATCTCTGTGGATCGGAGCAAACAGTCTCGGAACACCAGGCCGGTGGACCTGGAGTGATGGAAGCGCATTCGTCTATCTCAATTGGGCTTCTGGTAATTATATGTCACTCCATTCTGGTAATTATCTTTTTCTCCATAGCTCAATTAGTAGATTGCTCTCTTTGTAACCGGGAGGTCGTGAGTTCAAACCTCGGCCGGGTCATACCAAAGACTTTAGAAATGGTACACACTTCTTTCTCTGCTTATCACTCAGCACATATGAGAAAGAGTATTGGAAGGTCAGACACACAGCACTACCAGCGGACTAGCCCCCTGCTGTAGTGCCTTGCACAACTGTGTGTCGCCCAATGGCTACGAAATGGAGATGGGCACCACCCTACGCTCGGCATAACAGCACGGGAGACCTTCTTCTTCTTCAGTCCATTCCATGGAGTACATGGAGTGAAATATGCTGTATTTGCTCGCAAATATCAACCTTTCTAGACAACTTTGATTTTCTTATATTGTAAGTACATGTATGTGTGTGCCGTAAGGCATTATAGTACTATTCTTTACTCTTGCAGGTCCTAATGGTGGAAACACTGATAACTGTGTGGAGATTACCAGCAGTAATGGCCGGTGGAATGACCTAAGCTGTGCTGAAAGTCGAGGGTACATCTGTAAAGCTCGTCAGACACCCACAGTACCAACACCCCTGCCTCCTCCTGGTACGTTCATCAATTCCTTATAATTACATCAATTTACAAATTGTCTATATCATTTCAAGGCAGCTATTGTGAATTGGAATTAGAAGAAACAACAAACTAAGGGAAGATTTGCTAGGAATAGCGAGGAAGGGGCAATAATCTTAAAAAATGTGAATTTGCAAAAGCTATGCGTATTGATGATGATGGATATTCCGGTCGGTTTCGACAGATGAGTACGCAGAGATGTCATTTGCCGAGCTGGGTCCTCATGTGAGATTTAAGTCCGATATGACCTTCGGATATTAAGAATAATATGTAGATTATGCGTAACTTTTGCTTAACGTTACAACTAAAAATTCTTTCGTCAATTCTGTTCTATCTAATTATGCATATAGTGAGTTCTAAGTAGCTACCAAGAGATTGGGGACCTTTCTCTGGATTCTCATAGTTCTCTCTTCTGAGCTCTGGTGTACCTTTTCACCCTAGTGTGTTTAACCCCCGCCGCCTGCTGCTGTATTCTTCCAATCCGGTACCAATGTATTTACTGTCTCGGAAATAGATGTTAACTGTTACCTCCCAATGTTTAGACCAGTTCCTTGTGCATATTTGTGAGAGGCAAGGCGACACACTTTCCTGTGATGGAGGGAAGGTTATTGAAGTGGTGGCAGCAACTTACGGGCGGAGTGACCCCAACATCTGCACCAACCGACCGATATGTAAGTCGCAGTTTTCTCTTCAGAATCCCCTTGAAAAACTTCTAATTCAATTCATTGGTGCAAAATGATTTTCTACAATTCAGCTATATTTTCACCCCATTTACGTCAATCTATCTGCAAGTTTCATCTCGTGTTTCTAATGTGCTATTGAATTGTTACATTTATTTGTTCCCCTGTTTGTAAAAGCTCGAGAAGACTAAACATATTATCTTTCTTAAAGTGTATCGTTGAACTTTGACATTGAAAAGTGACACTTTATGAATATGAGATTTTACAGTCAGCCATCCATTCATCCACATGTAGCATCACTAAATCACCAATCATACAGACATGTACATGTGTGAGGTCGTGTGGCGTGGCATGCAGCATTACTAAATCACCAATCATACAGACATGTACATGTGTGGGGTCGTGTGGCGTAGCCCCGATGTGCGATGGTCCAAATTCTTGTCTGATTATTCACTACGGACGCGGAGAGTGTGAAATTCAGTACTGTGAAATGGAGATCCTAAACAAACAAACAAACATGTCCAACATTCTTGCAGCGAACACAGACTGTTCTGCAGCAGGAGTGTTACAGAAAGTGAAGACGTCCTGTGATGGACAGACAGACTGCCGTGTCACAGCCAGCAACAGTGTATTTGGTGATCCATGTTCAGGAGTGCAGAAGTATCTAGAGTTGACCTACAACTGTATACAAGCTCCAGGTGCAGGTAAGAGCGCCACTTGACGTGATTTTATTCTTCAAAATCTTTACAGATTATGTTCATCTTTCAAAATTGTTGTAAGTGCACGTGTAACTCTTTGTATTTTCTTAATCCTGTGTTTAAGAACCACCAGTAATAAATGTTGCTTCATATGGTCTGTATAATGACATGTTGAATGAAGAGTTGTAAATCATATGTTTTGTTATATGATTTTTTTTCATATGGCAGAAATGATCGACTGCGCGACTCGTGCTGATTCAAGAAGCGAGGAAAGAATTACGTAAGTGAACAACCTGGTAGTTTGTACTGTATAATTTGATGTAATAGCCCTTGGGCGATGTTGCATTCAGCTATGGAAGCTTCTTCTTTGACACATTAACACAGTCTGTGTTAGCTGGTGTGTTACACCGAAGGGCGCTTATACCGGTTATACCGATACAGATGCAGATATTTGGAAACTACATCACCAGTTTTCTGTTTTTAGTGCCCGATGCCCACCCGGATGTGCTGGTACATCAGCAGAGGTTAGAGGTACAGGAGTGTACACTGATGTAAGTAGCCAGGAGACACTAACCTAAGAATAAGGTTGAGTTAAATTAAAAATACTGCAGATATATCGTCAACAGTTATGAGTCTTAAAATCAATCTAAAGCCAATCTTATTTGAAATTGTTCCTACAAGCAACATTACATATTTGTCAACGGTTATGAGTTTTAAAAACAATCTAAAGCTATTCGTATTTGTTGAAATTGTTCCTACAAGCAACGGTACGTGTGCTGTATATTCAAAAGGATAATCGAATGTGTGCAGGATTCGAGCATTTGCCGAGCAGCAATTCACGATGGGAGAATTGTCGATGGGCAGGGAGGTGACGTCACTGTCGTCAAGGTGGCAGGTCTCCAGTCCTACCAGAGCTCCACACAGAATGGCATCTCCACGTTATCGTAAGTTGTTTTATCAACAGCCTCCAGTGTTAGAATAAAGCTAAGTATCGTACTATGATCACTATCAACACAGATGAACTTCCATGATAAACAGCCTCCAGATTAATTCCGTACTTCCAGTTTAATTCCGGACTAATTCCCATATCTCAGCAACCTTACATCTAGATGGTCTAATACCATAAACTATAGGTAAAATGATGTACAAAATATGTAGTAGCCATCAAGGACCCCTTGGGGATTAACCCGATTCTGCAGAATTCTTCAGAATTCTAGAACTGCAGCCAGAATTCTGTGCAGAATTTTACAGAATTGGGTTAATCCCCAAGGGGTCCTCGATGGCTGCTACGTCGACATATTTCTTACATTTTTTTTACTTACAGTTTACGATGCTAGCCCATCTAGTCCAGGATTAAACTGGAAGTACGGAATTAAACTGGAGGCTGTTTATCATGGAAGTTCATTTGTGTTGATAGTGATCATAGTACAATGCTTAGCTTTATTCCAACACAAAGAGTATACAATGATTTTCAACGACCACCGTCGCCTTCAGCATAACTAATGAGAAATCACTTTCTAATACTAGATATAGAAAGGCCAATATTTGCTTTGGAGCGATGGGTTCACCACATTTTACGACATGGCAGGGAAAGAATGAGAAACACAAGGGAAAACAATGATTTACATTGATATAACTATAATATGAAGTAAAATACAACTAAAACAACAGTTGGATAGCTATTCCCTACTTTATTGGTTAGGATTTTTAATTGCATAATGCAAACTGTTGATTTTCAAAAATAAAAAAAACGTCCATGCCCCGCATTCCAATGCTGGAGCAGGAAAGCTTGAAATACCTACCAAAACACTTGAATACAGACATACTGTCAGTATGGAAATGCTCTGTGCAGGTGTTGATCAAGTTAAATCCCAACAGCCAATCAGCAAGAAGAATAGAGGAAAGCTGCATGCCTATTGGTTGATGCCCTGCATTCCATTGTGATGACTCATGCCCAAACGTGGTAAACGAGGCACACTAACACAGTAATACATTTGCTATAACACAGCCAAAAAACTCAAATAAAACCATTCTAAAAGCCTGTATCACAATAATTTAAAAAACGCCTAGGGGTATTTGCCCACTGTACCTCCATACCAAATTTCAGGACCTTGGGCCCTAAAATGAAGAAGCTGAATCCATTTAAAAAATGGCAGGAGAAGGAGAAGGAGAAGGAGAAGAAGAAACATCAGAAAAAGCAATATGGGTTCACCACCACTTCGTGGTGTGGTGAACCCATAATAAACCCACCGTCTCTGCATTGACCTTGCGTACCCTTTGCGTTGGAATAAAGATAAGAAATCGTACTATCGTAAGTTGTGTTTTACTGCTTGTGTTGATATGTATCGTGTGGTCGTGAAAGTGTGCTTTCTGCTTTTTGAACATGTTTTATTTCATGTTATCAGATATGGGGACTGGACTGCACACAGGTCATTTCTCTTCCAATCTGATGGCGGTAAGTCAGTGCTCATTTCTTTTCACTTCATACCATAGACTTAGTCATGGATGATATACCACCTCCCCGTGTCATTTCGTTAAACGGACTCAACGTCTTCATTTATACAGGGAAGGCAAAGGTTAGGTCGATTTTAATCCTCCTGGTGCATTTTCTTTGTACTGTAGCAGAACTGCCGCTTTGCATATATTTCATCCAAGTTATACCATGGTCTTTGGCTTGTTATATCAGGTAGCAGAGATATACATAATTGAATGCAAACTATGTGATTAAGGATTACTCTTCACAATCAATTATGACATTTGAACACACCTGTGTTTTCTTTGTACCTATCGCCCAGGCCATGCTACTGTCTTGATTCTTGGTTGGCAGATTTAACGTCAAGATAAGAAAACGGCGTGGCCTGAATTCAGTCCCCAAGCAATTAATGTTAGAAATTTAAAGACATTTGTGTTGACAAGTTCCAATGATAACTCAAGAAAGGAGGGATGGATTTCAATTATTTGGGGCTTGCAGACCCACGAACTCGTCTTTCTCTTCATTGCAGAATGATGTTGATGTACCATGTACTAAATTACCATCAGCGCCATTCTATTACGTTTGTGTTAAAAAGCCACACCGACATTAAGTATCGTTTTTCAGTGCTTTCCTGCCCACCTGGATGGACCAGTTACCATGACAGCTGCTACTTTGCATCGTCTGACCAGCGGAGTTGGCAGGACGCCTCCTCCTCCTGCAGACAGATGGGCGGGGACCTGGCCTCCATCTCTACCTCCACAGAACAGGCGCTGCTTACAAGTCTTGTGGCAGGAGGTACAGGATTGACTTAGCCTGGGTACCATCCCCAGTAGTATTCGCACGCTCTATAACTGGTTATAGAGCTGGCGAATATACTACTGGGGATGGCACCCAGGCTAGGATTGACTCAGTTTGTGTGTCAAAACATTATTACTTTTACTGAAAAAAAACCCTGCATTTTCGCATGCCCATGCACATTGAAATGATGCAGACTGACCAGCCAGCATACTACGTGTGAAAGAAACCAAAATAACAATTTACAATTATATCTTCATTATTAGCACCATAGTACAGTTCCAATGACAGCATAGACAACCAGTGTAGTCATCACAATATTTTATATAACCCAACAGTTCCAGGCAATACTTGGATCGGCTTGAATGACCTGTCCATCCACATGTACTTCCAATGGATAGACGACACGCAGGCTACCTTCTCAAACTGGGACAACAACCAGCCTGATGACTGGAGCGGGAACACAGAAAACTGTGTGCAAGTCAACAACAACGTTTGTGCTTTTATATCATTGGATTTCATTTTATCTATTTATTGACATATAGTTAACTATAGTATACTACTATTGTATTTCATTTGATATTTGATACAATTTTACTTCAGATTACTTGACGCTCAGGTCTCTCTGTGATAAAGGTGCAGATTCTATCTTCAAGTGGTATTAAACCAGTCTTGTAGCCTCTATACAATGTTATATCATAGTTTATATCTTAGGCATATTGTCTAAATAACACAGAATGGCCGCTGGACCGATGCAGCCTGTGACCAGCCAGCATATTATGTGTGCAAGAAACCCAAAGCTCTGCTGGCTACCCCATCTGTACAGCCGACTGTTGCTGGATGTGAAGAGGTAGTGGGGATGAAGATATTTACCTAATTTACTGCTCTGCTACCTTTTAGAAGAAAGTCATAAACAATTATCATAACTTATCTAGTTCAACTGCTACGTATCATTTAACTCCATACTATGTGTGGGTGAAATATATTGTTTTTTCCAACTATCACCAACCAATACAAAAAGCCGTCGAAGTCACTTAGCTTGTATTAAGCTTTTGTCATGCCTCTAAACTTCTCTTCTAGGGATGGATGGCGTACCAGGCATCCTGCTACATTGTCAGTGATGACGTGGAAACTTGGCCAGCTGCCAGGTCAAAGTGCCAATCGTCTTACTCAGCAGAGCTTGTTCAGATCCAAGATAGGTACATTCTTTATCCTTTTATTTCATATATATATATACAGTGGAATTGGGCATTTCTTTAATCAATACTAAGAAATTGGAAATTTCAAAGCTATGGGAAGTATCTTGAGTGTTTTGCAAATTTATTGACACAACCACACAGATGGTCTAGTACAGAACCCTTGTTTTGCGGGACAAATCGGACATGTTATGACGTGAATCACGATGAAAAAGGCCAAAATGCCGGGGTGAAAGAAAATACATTTCTTTTTATATTTTGTTACAAATTCTATGCATGTTGGTATTTCTTCCATTCTGGAAAGGCGGTGAACTGTGTTTAAGTAACATTATGTGAATCAAATTAGAAAAAAAAGAAAATGAACACACTTTTACTATTGATGGGTAAACCTATTCCACAGTTTTCATGTGCATCGTATAAGGAAGGTTATGAACATTTCTGTCATTCCTGTTTTGAAGATTTGAACAGGCTTTTCTGGCGAGCAGAGCTAGTGACTCTGACACCAGTTTGTGGATCGGCCTGTCTGGTGTCATCGACAACGGGCAGACAACATTCCAGTGGTCAGACGGAGAGCGTCTCAGCTACACCAACTGGGACAGAAACCAGCCAGGTAGATTTGCTTCTTTGTATAATTGTACTTGTTCCAGATGACTAGAGAGAGACTGATAAAAACTATTCTTCTCATCGGCTGTTGCACTCTCAGTTGGCGCATAAATAACCGTATAACATTGTATAACATAAGGCATGATTCGTAAGGTGGTTCGAAACATTTACACTAGTATGCCCCCAGAAGTTAAAAAATTTGGCATACACCACAATCATTTTGGGATGGGGAGGGAGGTGGAGTAATATGTGTATTCTATAGGCCTTTCTAGTTTTTAATTTGTTTTATGTCTGGTTTCCTAACAACTTGCAATTTTGTTTTCTCAAGATCCTGCCCAAGGCAGATGTGTGTCAATGCACACTGGAGATGGGGCAGGGCTATGGAAAGCCCAGCAATGCCCTGCACCGCAGAGGTACATCTGTGAGAGGCAGAGAGTTGGTTTTACTGCACCTCCCCTGCCACCGACAACAACTCCTGCACCAACATGCCCCACTGGGTGGGCTGGGCCGGAACAAGGAGCATTCTGTTACCAGGTAGGCCTATTCAAAAGCGTCCATGCTTTAACAGGAAATGTAATCTATGCAATTTTCCATTATTTCAATAGAAGAAAAACTTCAATCAATGAAAAATAAAGCACGATTAGGGCCTTCTTCTCACTTAACATGATTGATACATTACCAAAGAGGGTGGTGTGCAATGCATGCAAATGGTGACCTTGTTTTTCATGATAAGTTGTAAAGGTTTACTTACGTCATATACAGTGTTACATGATTTGGGAAAGATATACAGTATTTCAGTCCATGATTAAAAACAAAAGCAACTAAACGGGTAGTGAACGATAGAATAGAATATTATATCTAAGAAATTTGATATTCATTCCTTCCAAATCTCAAGTTACACACAGCTGTGAAGAAGACCTGGATGGAGTCTGTTGATGCCTGCAGGGCAGTGGGAGCAAACCTCTGCAGCATACACAGCACATCTGAGTTAACGTACATTGCAGGAAACTTTGGGTAAGGTTCCAATGTTGCTTGTTTTTATCTTTGTTAGATCTCAGTCCAGTTCTAATAGGGACATTTCCATACTGTTCATCACATATGCAAGAATAACATAACCTTGACAATACATATAGCATAATATTAATAATAATATTATTTCAAAGAACAACATTTACATCCAATAAAGGTCAAGGAAAATGTTCAAATGATTGTACAAACTACATACTATCAAAGTTCTTTCAAGTTAACTACAACTAAAAACTTAACTCTTCCCATTCAGGCAATATGACGATGCATACTGGATAGGACTCAACAACAGGGATACAAACCAAGGTACAAGTACCAGACTATGCGTAAGAGTATAATGTGACAATGGATTTATGTGTACACAACTCAAATCTATGTCTTCTATGCGTCCCAGATAAATTATGCAAGGTAGCCTAGTTTCTGCTCATACCTACTTGCTACTTGCATCATCTATGTTAATCATCTAAGTAAAAAATGTCTTACTTTCTGTTAAAAGTGATAAGTGTACAAAGTACACACACCACATAAGTTAAAAGTTCGTGAAAGATCTGATTGACTGCTCATACATCCACCCATTCTCTAGAGGAGAAACATTTTCTGTTTATTCGTAAAATTATGATAGGGTATCAATGGTCGGACAGCACAGCAGTGGGGTTCACAAACTGGGCACCAGGAGAACCCAACAACGTGAACGGATTGGAAAACTGTGTGGAGATGTACCAAGAGTCCACAGGAGTGGTGTCCTGGAACGATGTCAGCTGCTACTCTCTCAGGAACTATGTCTGCAAACTTGCTAAAGGTGAAGTCCGGAGTCAGAGTCATTAGAAATTTCAAATGAATGCACGTGAAAACTAAGAGAAATCGATATGAAACTTAAGTGAACCCCAAGTCCTATAATTCATTGTACGTAGTCATGATTTTAAGCTCCCGTGGATTTGTCATATTTTCTGTAGCATACAGGAATGTCATTGATTTCTTTATAACTAAAAGACTAGCTTTACAATGCCCATTACAGGACAGCCACTGATACAGCCAACGCCCACAGCAACACAACCAGGTAAGGTCACAAGGGATTTGGCAGAACTTGTCCCTGTGCTATCGCAATGCCTAGAATTCTTAAATGGGATTTCTATACATATAGTCCAGTATGTCATGTAATTTAGGAAACCTAATGCAATGTTGTATGTCTCTTCTGGAAAAGTTCAAGTTTGGATATGCCAGAGGCACATTTTTTACTATTTAGTTAAGAAAATGTATATTTTATGAAATCATGAGAATTTTTGTGCAATGGCGACTTATTTGAAGTGCACTTGTAAATGAAGATATTAATGTTTACTATAATGTGTTTTTTTCCAAACCACAGTGGTGACTTGTGAGGACCCGAGCTGGCTGTATTTCCAGGGTAACTGTTATCAGTTTGTGCCCTACTTCAATGGTCAGTCCTGGACCGGAGCACGTCAGAACTGCCAGGCAGCCGGAGGAGATCTGGTCTCACTGGGGTCTCCTGACGAAGCAGGATTTGTCTTCCAACAGGTCAGCTGAAAATACCATGAAAGTTCACATGTGTTGCCCGACTGTTGGTAGTTACATGTTCAGAGTTAAAACTTTTGTTCTAACAGAGGAGAAATTATCCTTAACTAAAGCTTTTGACCAGTCACTCTGGTCTTCTTCAATAGACTGACTCAGTGAGACTTGTCACGTGGCTTCTCTGGGGCTGAAATTGCCAGTTGTCACCAGACTTCTGAGTGACCAGAGTGACTGGTCGACAGCTGATGTTGAAACAAAAGTCGTAACTCAAATAGGATGTCCTAACTCAAATACTCACACTTTCCGAGACATAAGATATATACCATATCTCTCGTAACAACGCATGATTTTCAGAAAATGAGACAGTTCCAGATGGACAGAAATTTTGACAGAACTACCACACACACACACACACACACACACACACACACACACACACACACACACACACACACACACACACACACACACACACACACAATAGTTAGGCTAATGACATACATTGTTTATTGTTACAGAAATAATGTCTATTATATTGTCCCTGCAACAAACAGGCAGGAAGACAGTTGGTGTACGGAGATCGTGCGTGGATCGGGCTGCGTGAATATGGCGTGGAGGGAGTGTACAGGTAAGTCTGCAGTGATAACACGTGCGGTGTTTCCTTCCACTAAAACGAAAAGTCCTTTGAGTCATGATTCTACTATTGTATAATGATACTTTGACAATGAAATATTATCATAATATTTTCCCAAGCACAATGAGATGGTGACCATGCCTTACCCATAACACGAGATAGAAAAAGGGGAGTGTCTGCAGCTTTACCAAGAACATTGATATCAAGGGGGAAAAATTTATATGGCTAATGATTTTTCATAGATCACGACGTAAACTTTCTTATGGAAATGTGACTTTATGTATGCCAGCTATAGTTGCTATTCTTTGCGTTTAAACAGCTGGTCTGACCAGACACCAGTGTCGTTCTTTAATTGGGCCCCAGGCGAGCCGAATGATCACAATGGGGAGCAGCAGTGTGGAGCAATGTTTCTCCACAATGGTAAGTATAGGCTTTTAAAGAAGATGTACATACACCACATTAAGTGTTGGGGTCAAAGTTACAGACGACCATCATATACAACACCATGATACATTGTACATTAGATATTACTAACTTTATAATCGTTAGTCCTATAAAATTATGAATGCACTGTACATGTCTAGCATCATGTTTCATTGTTGGAATTTGACTATATTACATTCTATAAAACAACTAGAAACTCTGGAAAAAGTCTTTATCAAGACAGTCTCAAACCTGAAGGAGATGACATTGTTTCTTCTGCAGGTCAGTGGGATGATGACAACTGTGGAAGGCAGCACAGCTACATCTGCGAAAAGGCAAACGGCACCATAACACCAGTGCCTCCCACAGCACCCTGGCCGGGCAACTGTATGAGGTCAGCTCTGGGCTATTATTATAACTACTGTAGGATGATCTGAGGACTTGGAAATATCTGTATTCACAATGCGTACTGCATTTTTGTTGCTTGTCTAAACTGGTGTTCAGCAATCCTAGCATATATTTACAACCACAAAAACCACATGTAATCTTTGTTGTTTGTTTGAATATCCATGTAGTCTGTATAAGAAAACTATTGTTTATTCCTCAAAATCACCACTCTTCTGAACCCAATGAAAGTCACCATAATGTTTTGAATTTTTGATTTCCCCTCCAGTGGATGGTCAGAATTTGGCAACAAATGCTTCAAAATCTTTGACGAACAGAAGACCTGGACAGCAGCACGGGATACCTGCAGACAAGTCGGCACAGGGACGGACCTGGCTGCGGTTGAAAATGACCTTGAACAAGGTGTGACATTAAAGCTTGTACTAAAATCTGTCATCAACGCAAAGACAATCCGACATAGTACGCGTGCCTTCCATTGCAGTATTTTATATGTTAAATGGCATCAAAGGTGGATTATAAAACATCTTCATTGTACAGTTGCCATGATGAAAATTATACTCAAGGCATAACAGATGCGATGCTCCTTCTTCCTTGTATACAGCATTCCTGATCACACAGCTGTACGGTATATCTGGTAATCTGTGGATTGGGCTGTCTGAACGCAGCGAGCCAGGACAGTTTCTGTGGACCAGCGGCCACTCTGTCAGCTACACCAACTGGGCAGCTTCAGAGCCGGGGTTCTGGCTGTACTCAGTAAGTCAATGGAACATCGTAGTCAATCATTTTTGTGTGTGTCATGTTGTTTACAATGGAGAGTTTCACGCGTGGTCTCTATTTGTTTGGCAGGTGTATTTCTTCACCATGTTATAATAATTGCAATTCACTGACAACGTCATGTTAATATATCCTTGTTGATTCTACATTGTTCACCAAGAACTTTGCTGAGAGAAACCTTTAACATGTGTTTTTCTAGGATGATTCTTGTGTGGAGATGAGAACAAACGACAATGATGTTGGTCTCTGGGACGATGTTAGCTGTGATGCCCAGCGAGGATTCATTTGTCAGGGCTTCAAAGGTTTGGAAACTCAGAGATTTTCCTTCGAACTTAACATAACGAGTTTCCCCTTCAGTCCATTGATCTAAGGTGCCATGAATCAAATTTGAAGAGTCCTGTCTTCTAAGCAAACATCCGCTATGTACAGACAGATTGTGCAGACTCTCATCAGGGTCTGTACAGACGATTATGCCGAGAGTTAGGAGTCTAATCAACGGATAGAAACCATGATCTAACGTTAACCTCTGCAAGAAATCTTTAAACACACCTTGAAACATACATAAAGGTACACACGAGGAAAAAAACGCAATCTTTATGCATCCTTTAAGGTGTGCAGAACCATCGATTTTAGTATAAGTATATTATACATGATCTGACGTTATCTCTTTAGGCGGAGAATAAGGTCAACTGAAACTTATTTGCATAAGTATCAGTCATTCGTTAGTGGTAAGGATTAACGTCATTCCGCAAAGATATGAGACCATAAAACTCTTGTTTAATCATTCAAAACATTACCTCTTGGTAAGAACAAAACGATCTCCGTTACAGGTAGTTCTTTACCACCCCAAACAACCCCAATGAGCAAATGTCCATCCAGCTACAGTCTGTACTTATCAAGCTGTTACAAGGTTACAGACAGCAAAGGATCATGGGAAGAGAGAAATGTTGCGTGTCAACAAGAGGGTGCCAAGCTCAGCAGTATCCTCAACGTGTACCAGCAGGCTTTTGTCATGTCACTAGCTAAGAGCAGAGTTTGGATCGGTTTATCAGATATTCAGGTAAGAACTGCTATGTCTCTACAGTAGGTACAACATACACCTTTAACATGGGAAATGACATAATGATTGTACTCTCTGAAAATACTATGATTGGAACACATCACATAAATTTTGGGATTAAAAAATGTATCATCATTCCTGTATCATCATGAGAAATCCAACTGATCTGAAATTCGGTATGGGCACAGATTTTTCAGTAGAGATGGGGGAGCGGTAATTTGGGACAGTCTGCATGTTTTTTTTTGAACAGCACTCTTGCAAAGCGGCTTCAAGGTTAGAAAATTAAGTGTGGAGTTGGGTTTGCTAAAAGTAACCCTGAGATACTCCATGATAAGCAAGTAACATTTCTTTGTTATAGTTTACTTGTTTAGTGTTATAGTTGAGTATATGTGTGTGTGAGAGAGAGTTTCGAATCATTAATGACTATTTTTGACTATCTTTTTTTACTACCATAAGACTCCTCAGCAGTACAGATGGACAGATGGCTGGCCCCTGATCTATGCTAACTGGGGACCCAATGAGCCCAGCATGGGGCAGAGAGAGGGGTGTGTTGCTATGGAGGAGGGTGGGGCATGGGATGACACCGGCTGCACAACGCAACTCCCAGCTGTCTGCAAGATATCTAGTGGTACGTTGAACTGACACTTGTAACTTGTTAGTGTGTTAAATATGTCGTAAATGTCACTTGTAGTAATGAATGGATCGTCGTGATTTATTTTTATGTGTAGATACTTACGTCATGACTGATGTATGTCAAGTAATTTAGGACCTCATTTTCACATTTGCATAGTTGATAATAAAATGCTATCATTCTATATTGGTAAATGCCAGGAATTCCCATCTTTCTATATTTGGAAGTTGATTATTCATAACAATATTAATATTACATACGAAGTTCATTAACAAAATACCACTGAATATGAGATATAAACGATTTCATGTCAGTCCTATTGTATTATATGATATGTTTTAGAATTATGAACTCAATAGCTGATATGATATCGTCTTCTCAATTGCAGAAAGTTACTTGCAAAAATTATACTTTCCGACTCCACGGACTGTCGGTAACTACGCCAAGTTGGAGACAACAACTCAGGAGTTAAGAAGTCTTACTTTATGTCTGCACATGCGCATTGACCTCACTTCCAACAACCAGGCAGCTTTAGTTAGCTATGCCGTGCAACAACAACACAATGAGCTACTCATCTTCAATCAAGGAGCGACCGGATTTTCAGTAAGTTATCAATCACAAACTTGGGGGTCTCTACCTCCCCACTTTATTTTAATTTCTTCATTTTTCAATTTCACCAAATCAAATCAAATTCGGTCACTGATCTTGAAATATATTTTCCAGTTGTACGTACAGGGAAAAAGCGTTGTCTTTGGTGACTTGCCTGTTTGGGATCGTAAGAGGCATGCAGTATGTGCGACCTGGCGCAGCAGCGATGGATCATGGAAGATCTACACTGACGGCGTGCTTCAGGCTTCAGGCTTGGGACTGAATCTAAGAGGAACCGTGCACGGTGGTGGAACATGGATCATCGCACAGGAGCAGGACAATATGGGGGGAGGATTCCAGGAGAGCCAAGCATTCAGTGGAGAACTGTCACAGATAAATCTCTGGGATTACGTGCTGTCTCCAGCTGAAATAGGGGCAGACTGGTCAGTCTTCTGTGATCAACATGGCAACGTGATTGACTGGGAAACCGTCAACATAAATATGTTTGGACTGGCCACAAGTGACCGATATGACTGCAGTAAGTACTGTACCCAAATTATGAATCATTACCTCAATGATAAATTATGGTATTATGTGGGACGTACCTGTCTGTGTGTGCGTGTGTGTGCTGCTGGCTAGCCACTTAAGACTGTCTTGATGGTTTGGGATGTTATTTAGTAGTTGGTAGGTTTCTGCACCCTTTCCTCTGTCTAAGTCTCTGTACCGTTGAAAAAGTTTTAAAAAAGAAGATAGCTAAAATCATTGTTTCTTCTCTCTAGTTTTCCTTCTTTTATGATTTAGTTATACCCCAAATTTAAAAAAAAATGGTATTGGGGAGACAAAGGTCAAGATCAATTATGGACCAACTGGCGACCTTCCTAAATACTGCAGCAGAACGTTTTGAAAGTCCTATCCACAGATTTAGATTTTCTAAAAAATCAAGATAGTGAAGACGGATGTACATGTACATGATACCGGGCATATAGGTAACGTAGGCAAAGGTGTACACAATGCAAATGTAAAAACATTGGTTGCTTTAGCAATTGTTCAGCTACTCGATTATGGTGTTTTTCAGGCGTACCTCCAACAGTGCCTCCCAGTCATCCCGGCCGCTGTCCGGACATAACCTGGCTTTATTCGGGAAATAAATGCTATTATATAGAACCTGGTACAGATGACAATAACAGGTAATGATAACTTCACTTTTGATATTTTACAGATATATACTTAAGATTGAAACTTAACCTAAAAACCACGATGAGTAACTCTTCAATGGAAATGTCCTTCTTGTAAACCCCAGGACGATAAGACTGATGACTAACCAGTACTATTGATACTCTAAAGCCTCCACGCTTCCAAACATTACAGTTCTTTTTTTCCAGTTTTGACTATCTATTCATGGGAATTGTTGACTTTTCACATTTCTAATGTTGATTTTTAGTATTATTTTATTTAGTATTTTCTATTATCAATTCAGTTCTACATGTATTATTATCACAGTGTTTTGAAATTATTTTTCAACATTTCTGCTGACAGGCGTTCCTGGCCAGAGGCAGATTATGAATGTAAAGGTAGAGGTGCCCAGTTAATGAGCGTCCACAGCCAGACAGAAATTGGACTGTTCCAACAGATGCAGCTTACCTCCAGCGTCTGGATTGGGCTGTACAAGAACAGTGATCGTAAGTAGTTAACATTAACTTAACGTGTACACGTCTAAGCGAGTTTACGCAAAACAACAAGGGAAAAAATCTCGTACAAATTATCTACAGCTTAAGCAAAATCATTAGTAGATTTGATATTATGTTCCCATGCCCCAAAATACTGACATCCCTACGTCCTGCATGGCATAGAGTCCAAACATAGGTGAAATTGTCGGAACATGTAGGGTTGTTGGAACATAAGATACCCTATTTGTACTTAGTGATACCCTATTTGTATCCGACTTTGTACTTTAGTATATTCATCTACCATTATTCTACTAAATATTCTTTGTCCGAACTTCTCCTTTAGGTGCCATACAATGGACAGACGGGTCTCCAGTAGACTTCACCAACTGGGCGTCCGGAGAACCAAATGACCTCGACGGCTCTGGTAGAGAGAACTGCGTGGAGATGTACTCCGATGGAAGGTGGAACGACATCAGCTGTTTCGGCAGGCTGGGCTTCGTTTGTAAAACTTCACCTGGTAGGTAATCCTCATGGAAATTTGCTAATTAATTAATAGTTTGTGGTCATAAACCTGTTGATCTTGAGATCTCACCAGTGTCACTGACGAAAGTTAGTGGATGCTACCTGAAACGTTCATGTTTGATTGAATAACTTTTTTTTGTTATATCTTATAACCTGGATGTCTAACCTTCATCGACGCAATCCACAGGGAGTTGTCGCACAGGGAGATCTGCATAGCAATTATCTCTTAGGTCCCAATTATAGCTGATATAAACATTTAATGTGTCATAATCTAGCTCTGTTCTCTTTCCTTTAGTCCATATGTTGTAATGCCTGGTTGACTGAAGCATATGTTATGTATTTCAGTACATCACATGACTTATACACGATGTCTATGAGGATTGTCCTCGATCCTGCATTAAAGACTGATGCAATTGTTCAATACCAAGACTGTGAACAATAACCCAATTTTGCTCCTTTCTCTCAGAAATCGACTCCAATACAGTTGAACCCCCTCCGACCACCACGCACCCAACGACTACTGCCGCATCAACTACCACTACATCAACAATAGCAACTGTGACACCAAGACCTGCCACAACAACGATGCCTACAACTCATTCCACTCTGACTACCTCAAGGCCAACAACTAGTACACAGGTACCTGGAACAACCACAGGAAAAACTCCACAACCAGCCACACCTGGAACACCTACACAGCTAAGTAAAAGTTCCGCTCGACAAACAACAGCAACCATGCATGATGTACCAACTACTAAATCAACAGTGCCAAAGCCACCCATAACAGGACACATAGTCACTCCCGGGGGCTGGCCAAGTCACATAACTCCCGCACCTCAAGGAAAAGGTGAGTAAAGATTCATTCTGGATCTTTCTTTAAAAAGACCTTAACATGAAATTTACATTGGTTAATGTCCACGAACTTTGCCAACGACACCTCATTCTTAGTTGAAGAGTTAGAGCTTTGTTCCGGCACAAAAAAGGAACTCGCCATGAATTTTCAGTCGATGTCGTCGACCTTCATCAGATGTATGACCCTCTACGCTGAACCCCCCGGAAGCCCAAAGCGAGATGACTCCAGGAGTCTTTTATGCCACTTTTGATTCACTCCTGGAGTCATCTCGCTTCGGGCTTCTGAGGGTTCAGTGTAGTGAGTCATACATCTGAAGGTCGACATCATCCACTGAAAATCCATGGCGAGTTCATTTCTTGTGTTGGAAAAACGCTTATTCTCTACTATGGATTCTACCAACACTGATGAGCTTTCATATCTCTTTTTACTGTAGATCCCAGTGACCAACCTGGCCTGGAGACAGGAGCCATCGTTGCCATTATCCTGGCGTGCGTCTTCGTCCTTCTGATAGCAGCTGCTGTCCCTTTGTTTATGTGGATAAGACGGTCAAGGGCAAGGGGGCCAAAGACGGACGTACCTAATTCCTTTGACAACCTTGTTTATGACAATGGAAACTTAGGGTTAGATAATGGTGCCATGGAGATGACGTCTACTGGGTAGGAGGATATTATCACATTACTTTTATACACTTTGCCATTGTAGCAGTTATAACATGAGCAACAACAAATAAACTGAAGGAATGTACTAGTTGGTGGATGTAGTTATAGATTGATAGAAATTATGTAATTTATTTGATTGACATTGACCATGCTGAAATTCCACTGAACCTGCAACGTTTAGGGTTTATCTTTTGTTATCCCTTTTCATGTCTGCTGTAAACTTATTTTTTAATTTCTAAATGAAAGGGTTAGGTGAATAAAAGTTTAATTGCTGTGTACATATGTGATGAATGGACGCATTAGTTCTAGAAATGCATCACAGACAATATAACATCACAAAAAGTATACCATGTAAGAATTAATGCGAGTAACAATATGCCTACGTAACCAGTGTAAAATATTTGATGCTGATATTGTAAGATTACTCTTCTAGTCACACAGTCAGTCTTTATGATGAATACTAACCACTTGTAGGAGCGGCTTACTTTATCTATTATTTGAATCTGTAATTGAATACGTGACGGCAATTAGGACCGATTAAATGTATTATTCTAATTTTGACTGATAAGGACAATGGTTTTACTGCGTATTCAAAAACAAACGGCTGAATGCACTATATTAACTAAAAATACCAGGTACTAATATTATGGTTATACTACAAAGGAGAGGAACCTTTGATAATGATTATGATAAATGTGACATACTCTTTCGTACTCGTACTCGCTGGAATTCTTGAAAGAAAAAAAATCTGAATTACGATCTCGTTTTCTGTAACGTTTTTCTGTGGAGAAACTTAATGTAGTTGACAGTTGAATTTATCAAATTCTATAATGATTCCATTAAACCCTTACTGCGACCTGTATCAACATGCTCATTCATGTACAGGAACACGGATCGTTAGTCTAAGCCTGAGTCGAGCGCCGTTTCTAGAAAGACATGGTATCAAAATAGATTTGTAGATAAGAGAAATAAGGCCCTAACGGACGGTTTGGTGCTTACCCCACAAATGGTTTACGATATTAAGCCTTGGAAGTGTGGTGGAATCGCCTTTGACATCTTCACCAAATTACTTGCAAACGTACAGTTTTGCGCTGCACCGTCTTTATCTTTTATAGCCCAGCTGTTTCCTCGCGACATTCGGCTGAGCCACTTGCGTTCCCTACACTTTGTACAATCCATCACGGCCATTACACCGCCATCCTCCCGCCCTGCTGACATATATCACACCTTGTCAGATCCGTGCTCCTATGGTTCCTGCACACATAAGTAAGAACCCGTTGAGCGGCATGCCCTCTGGCCTATAGTTGCTGAGATCCCTCCTAATCCCGCCCTCAAACTGACTGATATGACTTATACGCGAGTTCGGAGTATGAGAATATATAGCCTGAACTCACAGTAAAAGGGAGTAGACACAATTCCGTAAACTGTACTTTGATATTGAGTTGACATTACACCATCCGATGAACAATGTGTGCGATGCAAAATTCAAAGGAATTCACTGATATCACCCAAGAAACACCCTTTCACACACTTTCAGCACCAAGGACAGACCCTTCCTATTTTCAGATGCAAACGTATTTGTTTTACAAATGCCTTTAGTTGATTGGTAGCGTCGAGGCTGTAGCAGCAGTGGGTTGTTAATCCGCTGTGTCTAGGGCTCAGTGTTGGGAGGCGGAACTCATCCCTCAACTGATTCTAGTGCCTCTTACCTTCCAAATGAAGTCGGGTGAACTATTCAACGCATCAGAGGTCCGTTAGAGAGGTTTTCCCGCAGATCGTTGTGACGTGTAGCGTTCAGCGAGTCCTCACCGACGACGCTTGTGTGATGTGGATAGAGAATATATATCCTTTATACAAATGATTACGCATATTTACATAATTAATGACAAATGGCGGGGATGATAAAAGTTATAATGAGAATTAAACTGTTTCCTACTCAAGAAAAATGACTCCCCATGATTTCTCGACCAAATCACTCGGTCTTCATCAGCTTTCTGACCGGAGTGCTGTAGACACGTGGCTTTTACCCACTTGTGACGTCAGCACTGGGTTAAAACTTCGTCGGAAGTCGGTACCGCCCCCCGTCCCGGTTGAGCGATTCTAAAAAAATGCTATATACGTTTACTCAATACAGTGAGGTATATATACATGTATATGCTACAGTAACCACTCCTTCCTCCCCAAATGTGGCCTTGGTTTATTGATTGAAAACAGCATTGGACGTATCTTACATCATTAGGCCCTTAATGGAAAGTTGTAACATTGAACAGATTGTGTGGTCGTATCTCCCTAACCATTACACACGTACCGATTGCTGGCGAAGTGCTCACGACTCAGGTATGGGGAGGAACAGGGTGGTCCCGTCTGGAATGACGGTTTTTACGATCCCATTAGGCGCTTAAAGTCCGATTGACTGGGGAAACCGACACATCGCTCTTGTCAAGTAGCTTCTAGAACTGCTTCAAGAAACACAGTTTCGTACGATGGCTTAGCATTTGCAAAATGTTATACATGTCTGGTATCCTTTTCCGCATGCAATTTAATGTTCAATTGACTTAAAGTACCTGAACCTTATACTTTGATATTGAAGTAAATCTATGTATGTATTCTAGACATGGGTAGGCCCTCATTTTGAAGAAAATAATTACGTTTGAAAATGATGCAAAAATGATGTTATGCCATGAACTTGAAAGTTTGATCGAAGATAACGGAAAAGAGCCATATGGTGCAGATTTAATTTGGGAGGTGCACATCCCACTTGTGAAAGTGTCGTATAACCGGAAATGAAACCGTAGATGGTGTGCTGTTATTCCCTTTCATCGATCTTTCCGCTATTTGGTTTCTGAGAATGTGCGGGAGTTCTTCATGTTCGATCTAAGCCCGTAATGGCGAAACGTCTGTAGAAAATACAAAATGATGAAGTCATGAAATAGGAAGCAATCGTGCCTGCTATTAAGCCCATGTTAGGGGGAGGTATGCTTCGAGCTTCTGTGATGGACCACATGTGTTTAATTTCATTTTCACCTAGAGCTACGGAGATTATTCAGCTATACATAGACATATAGTTTTATCCTTAGCTGTGTGTGGTTTTGATGATTGGCGTCAAATTGTTTTATGGGGATTCAAACTGCGAGTTATTAATCCACCGTGACTGATTGACCAATATGTCATTAAGATATGGTACAAGTAAGGTGGATTGCCGAGTAAAGTACTACCCAAGCAGTACATTTAGGTGTGATATGAAAACTTACGGTCAGCATGGACAAATAGTTTCCCCATGAAGAGTTATCATCCCTGATAAATTATTAATATCGAATACTAGTATATGTATTCAAACAAGAATAACCAAATTGAATGCTATTTCCCAAAATCACTTCATCTACTCAATGAATTATGATTATGTCAACTAGGATTTTCACATGGGTCTTGTCGATTAATCAATCAATCAATCATGGGGATCACAGCTAACGCTAGCCAGGAGCGCTCAGGGCACATGTATAGTCCCCTGTCGCTCATATTCCCAGTAATAAGAGGCCCTATACGACATCACCACCTGAGGCTCCTGGAGTTTTCAGAAGAGACACAAGTCTCGTGACGTAGCCTGCTTGCAATAGGGACAGACTGGCAGTGAGCAATGATTCTGTGGGATCGAGCAGATGAATTTGTTAAATTTGATGATCTGGCCTTATCAACGTTTAAAAACACACCTTGTATGATGTTTGAAAGTGTCTACCATTTAGAAGATCATAAAAAGACTATGTTTCTAGTAAGATCACAAGAATGTGGGACTATGTATCATCCACTGCCTTTAAAGAAGAAGTCAACCCCCATAAATAATAGTAAATGTAGTGGTAGTAATAAAGTTCATCAGATAGTAGTTGTATGTCTCCTATCGCTTTACATTCCTTGTACAATCAATTAGCCCTCGGGCATGATTTTACTGTCTTAGTCTCCGTACCGTCGACAAATGTATAAAAAAGACAATAGTTAAAACCCTTGCTTGTCCTGTGTAGTTTTCCTTTTTTTATTTAGTTATATCCCAATTAAAAACGGGCATGATTTTTGAGTAAAGATATTAAATAATGGCTTGGTCTGATGCCCGAAAGGAGTGCTGATGTTATGGGTTCTCCTGTAGCTTGACGTCACGCCCAGCTATAAACAAACTACTGTAAGGGAATTGATGTGTCTCAATCTGTTACTTGCAGACATCATAAACATCTTGTGCAGGAGCGCAGTGGACCGCGAAATTAGCCTGTATAATTAAATCAAGATATATATCTTACTTCGTCTCTGGCACAAAATTGTTTCTGCAGTCTGTGTTGCGAGCCTGAAGGGTGAAGTATTCATTATGGCAAACAATAAATTTGTACTTTATGCTTTTGCCTTCCAAATAATTACGATACGGACAAAAGAAATAGAACCATTGTCGACTGATAGGTATTACATATTCTGCTTGACTCAGTTTAAAAAAAAACTTTTGTAATAAAAATACACCATGCATATGCTGTAAAGTCCAAAGTAAGTTGGAAACCATTAGGCTGTCATACCCTTCTTAGTAATCATGAACACCGTAAAATTTGTGTAACGCACATAAAAGCTACATCTGTTAACCCATTGGAATGAGCGTTGTAAAAGCTACATCTATTAACGCATTTGAATATTAAGCAGTGACTTATTGCATATTGTCCAGTGCTAGCCCTTTAAAAATTTGGTTGGTCTGTCCTTGCTGTATCATTTCTTACAGCCTAATAAATCAAATCAAATCATATCATATCAAATCAAATCGTAATCATCTGTTGGTCCTTGGGGTCGGGGTCAGCCCTGCCCTATCCATCTCCACATGGTTATATATGTCCGCCAACACTGGGCCGTCTCTCATTAATATTATATATTAGATAATCAATTAGGACTTGGGACTTTCAGTCACTGTAGTAGACATCCTTTACAAATAAAGATGACGTAATTTTTACCATACATTTAAGAAATACAAGACGTTTTGTAACTATGCAGTATATTTACATTGAGGTTATCAAGCTGGCTCGATATTGAAGACTACAGTTGTGTGTATTTTTTATGAACAAGTCCGTATAATAGTCTTATAAGTCTTATAAAATGATGTGGTGGTAGACACATAAATAAATACATTAGCGATGGGTTAGGGGACAAAGTGGGTTTACTGTAAATCAAGATATTAATGTTCATGAGAAGAAATCACCGTATGAGAGCAAGGTGTATACGATATGATCACAGAAATACAAAGCATTTCTTTTTTTCATTTACAAACATTACAGTTTTTTTAATCCTGTTTTAGGACCTTTAATTATTAATTAGGCGAAACTTCTGTTTTTTACGTAAGCTTTCTCATCTGTCTTATATAACATAACCAAACAAACTTTTCATTTCAGTGAACGTCGTGTAGTACGTATCTATGACAAAGTACTTCATGTCTATGGCAAGAAAAAAGTGTTGTATACAGTGCAACGCGATCAGTTTGCAGTCCTACAACCTCAATGCAGAACTCATATAATCAGTACTTGAATCGACCAATGACATATTGTTATGTACAACGTAAAAAAATCTGAACAATCAAACAATCAAACAATGTAGGCGATGCTACCGAATTAAAGAAAATCTAATTAATCTGTAGAACTCGGTCGTCCAATCAAGTAGAGTGCCTGACCTATCGAATGTAATCCTATTGTGGGTAATAAGAAATGCTAATATAGTCTTTAAGGGCACATGGGGAATTAAATTATGGTCATTATATTACTGATTGTCGTAAACATTTAACCAGTTCATACATAACATTTCTAGAATACAGTAAGATTGATACTGTTTGCCAAACTCTTCTAGGTCTAATTGTATAGTGCTAAGTGTAGACTGTTGGAGGGATAGCGATGAAAATTTACCATTTACATAGCTCTGAAAGAAATTTGACTTGGGTGATACCGTATACTGTTTCGTCCAGTTTCAATACAATTATACATACCATATTGTACGTCATTTTGATCTTACTTATCTGTAAATTCTCTCAAAACAACATGTAGTCACAATATATTCCTTTCGAATGAATTTCGTCAAATCACAAAATTGTATGTTGAAACGGAATGATCTATTCGCTGTAGATCAGCTTTTCAGTCTATAGAACATGAGGACTGTAAACTACGTTTAAATCGTATCAAAATCATATCCAGTTGCTTGAGTAACTGCTTTTTGGCCTAATGATACAAAGTTGTCAAATTATCACTAGTTGTACAAAAGTTGTCAGACTAATACGTTGCATTCTTTTGTGAAGCAACACGCCATTTACCTAACAGTAGATGTTACCCATTTTAAGCGGTTCTGATCTACTTGTTCTTTGCTGTATTAGCTATAGAGAAGTTTAGAAAGTCACAGTATTAACTTATAATTTGAGATTTTCACATACCATTCTCTTTTAACTGGTCGGAGGTTTTTATGACATGTACGTTTTGGAAGAAGTCAGAGGTACTTAACAGCGTGTCTCAACAGTGGATCTACTAGCGACGAGTTGCAGGTCTATGATTTCCTCCACTTTCTTCAGCTGTGCCCTTCGCTTGGCCTGCCTGATCTCTGCCGTCTTTGTGCTGAACGCCTGCAAACTGGCAATGGAAGACATCATATCGCAGAGGAAGGCGAGCCAGGCTATCTTGAAGGACCAGCCGTACCACCAGTCCACGGGTCTCCAGATGTCCCCGTCGCTCTCCACGTTCCGGTTCAGGACGATGATGAAGAAGATGCGGCCGAGGAAGGAGACCAACCCCGACGCCACGGACATGAGGGCCGCGACGCGGTGCATGGACGGCTGAGACGTACAGCAGCCTCCCATCTGGCAAAACAGTCCTATTAACAAAAGACAGATGGACCCACACTCCGCTGCGATGGCTCCGATAAATTTGGGCACCTCGGTTCGCGGGAGTCGCTGGATGAACGAGTCGCACCGCTCCGCCTGCCCTCGTATCCTACTTTCCCGACACAGCGTCCAGTACCCACAGTGAAATGATATGTAGAGTTTCCAGTGGCTGATTTGTATTTTGGAGCCGTTTATCTTGCGAGTGTAGTCCTCGACTGACCCTCTGACCTTCTCCGTTCCTTCGGTCCAGTTGGACGAGACGAAGGCCGTGACGGTGAGGCCGATGGTAGTCACGGAGAGGAGCACGGCGAGACACGGGCAGCACGCGCGCGACGCTACCATCCTCACCCCGCTCATGTCCACCCGGGTGGGACCGGTCGCCTGGCAGCTGTCTGTGAGAAGGGATGAGTATTAACTGATTGACCTATATTGACTAAAATTAGGATCATGTCCTGAGAGGTTTTCGATTCATCCTCTCGAAACCAATCGGCATGAATTAAACAAATCCATCAGCTCTAAGGTAATAAAACACCAGGTGGGCCGACACCCACCCCCACACACACACAACACCTACAATCTCCCGCTACCTTACCAACATTGATTACCCGGCAGATGTATAGCGGGTGGCATGAAGGCCAGGATTGGAGCATCCCTCACTCACCATGTGACACGGAGGGCCAGCACACACAGCCGCGGTCATAATTCCTTCATCCGCTCCCGGAGCACATCCCGAGCCTCGTGAAACAACTTCAGTACCCAGCCGTCTGTTTCAACGACTTTTAGCATAATGTGAGAACAAAAAATATGTGAAACATGGCTTGTGTATACATTTTGCAATTCTACCAAGTAGATCTCGGATTCACCGTGATATGATGCACTGGGAGTTTTTTTAAGAGCGATGGCGATTGACTGACATATTGGGAATTGAAATTCCATGTGCGTTGCTTTGGGGCAGATTTGTATCTGTTCACCGAGGGATGGTGTATCATAGGTCTTTTGTTTTCTTTTCTAATAAAAGATTGCCTTATTTTTGTTGCCTCCGTCAGAATTACAAGGTGGCATCAGAAGAAAGCTTGGTGATATATGAGATATAATAGGAAATAGATATTGAAATTAATAGTCTTCCCATGGACCTAACTTAATGAAATATGTTGTCCCATTCCACCTTACGGGCTAAAGTTTATGTCTCCCTGCAGCAAAATGTAGACCTATTGAAGCCGTGCCATAAGTAAGGGATGTTCTGAACCCTGTGGGCAGACATGGGGTGCGTGAAATTGTTAGCCACAGATCAATGAAGCCGACATATGCCCTGTTTTGTAATATTGCGTCAAGGCCGTAACCATGCCCAGATGCGACTGGTAATAAGAAAAGGCTAGCGAAGAATGCAGTCCTCATCTGTTCGCCTGCAGCAGACTGTAAAGTATTACTTACGTCTGTGTACTGTATGACATTGACGGATGCTGCACACATCTCATCATATATACTAGTAAATGATATACGTTTTCTGTAGAGTTCGTTTGTGTGTGTGTGTGTGTGTGTTTGTTTGTGTGTGTGTGTATGCGTGTGTGCGTTTCTTTGCGTTTCTCTGTGTGTGTATGCACGCGTGCGTGGCTGTGTGTGCGTGTGTTTGTGTGTGTTTGTTTGTGTGTGTGTGTATGCGTGTGTGCGTTTCTTTGCGTTTCTCTGTGTGTGTATGCACGCGTGCGTGGCTGTGTGTGCGTGTGTTTGTGTGTGTATTTTTGTGTTGTGTGTGTGTCTGTGTGTGTGTGTGTGTGTGCGCGCGCGCGTGTGTGTTTGTGTGTGCGTTCATCAGATGAGAGGACAAAATCATAATTGTTACAAAAACTGTTTGGGAATAAACAACAACGTTAAGTTAAAGAGAAATACATATATGCGTTGAAGCATTACAACTCTGTGATTTGAACGTGCCAAAGTAAACAGCACTACAAGTCGACCTTGACGGAACTTGTAAATGTCCGCTAGACTTAGACTGTGAGGCGCGTGTAGTTCTCATAATAGAATTACGTACACAGTATAAAGATAAACTATACCCAGTGGTGATCTTTGTCAATGAGTAACTGCAACAGCGTGTTGGTGCCACCCTTAATCCTTTACGGCGACGTCTCGGTATCGTACATGTATATTCAATTTACCTTGAAGTAACGCATTCGAAGTGTCAAAGGAAAACATGTTGGAAAGAAAAGGTTCTCCCCGTTTAATTACCGGAGCCTGACACGGTTCCATCTCGCTGAAGTACATCATTTAGGCGAATAATAGACGCAAAAGCCACACGTAATCTTGCCAGGTGGTAATTTTACAAATGATGGTGGGGACCACGCGACGTGACCACGGGATTAAGGCTCGTGTTAATTCCTCCCATCGGTGTAAAGTGTGTAAAAGAGTGTGGAAGGACCGGGAGGTAGCTGATCATATCTTGTGGATTGATGAGTCGGGATTACCCGAGGCGGTACTATCACGCACCACCATTACCTTAACACATGTAGGGCCGACTTTAATGGACCCTGAAGGCCAAATGAATTTGTAAGATATCTTGAAATGGGCTGGGGAAACGTCTTGGTCTAATCCAAGGATCCTTTATTATTTTTTATCGATGCTTGAAGATTAGTTACAGTCTGCTGCACAAAAACCTGTGTATTTGTACTTGCGGTCCTGCACTACAAAAACCAGATCTTTAAGTATAATGGTTAACAACTTCCACTCCAGTGACGCAGTGCTACTACCTCCACTCCCACCGACCCACAGAAACTTGCAAAGACATGTACAAATGCGAAAATACAGTTCAAAGTTGTTAGGAAAACCCATGTGAAATTTAAAGAATCATTCCCATCTCTGGACACGACCAGTTGATTACAGCGTAACGTCAACACGTTCATTGCTACGACGTAACTATTTGATGTGTTTCATTTCAGGCGAACTGTTTTCTGTCGTGACCATTACAATGAAATGCAATGACTTATTCAAGTATCGCTGATTTGGAAACACATTATCTATTTTGGAAACAAAGCCCAATAACATCTACTAGTATCTGACGTGATGATATATAATACTGGACCAGGTGTAATAGTGTAAAAGTAAACTTTTTGTAGCAAAGAATCGTGATATTATATGGTAATGTAAAGTTGGTCGATCTATTCATCCTTGACTGGTTAGCTGTTTTGAGTATGTTTTCTGTTATCTATTATCTATTGTAAAAGTTCATGTAGGAAAGAGGGTGAATAAATCCATCAACACTTCAGACTTCACTTGTCTTCACAACCAATAATGATATACAGCTTTGACTAACTTTAAGATACTCCTGCTGCATGAAGACATCATGTAGTTGTGAGAAAAAAGAACTCATGATGAGTTCTTTTCACAACTACATGATGTCTTCATGTCTTCCCAACCATGATGTCTTCACGTTTGCGCCACGTGAACGTCATCCATGTCGTCTGGAGAACATGCCTGGGGCACCGGGAAGTCTATGTATAGGAATAATCAGTCATGACTCGGTTCGTCGCGATGTAACCTTGTCTCATGCTGCAGGCGTGCTTTTTCTTACATATATGTTACTCGTATGTCATCGCCGACGGTAGATTCAAACGTCGGTGTCTTCTTCACCAAACCCTTGAACCAAGTGCCAGACATCAGGGATGGGAGGAAACGTTAGAAAAACACATTTGACTGAAATATTAACTTATCCATAACCAATATACCACAGGCATGGGGGTGAAATGTGTTGTTTTTCCTGCCGTTTCTTCTCGTGCAATTTGGTGAAATTGATTCATCTCTGTAATTTTTGTAGCCAGGTGACATGAAAATCAGTGTTGAGGTAGAGTTTGCAAGTATCCCCAGGTGTTAAATCTATTATTGTATTTATTTCTATGCAGGATAAATTGGTCAATAGTGAACAACTGTGTAAAGACATTGGCTGTGGTAACTGTCCAACAAGTGTGTTAGATAGAATTCTGTCCATACTACACCCACTACACACTAACTAAAGAAATGCTTCAGATGGACATCAATACTAGCTGATGATGGATCAACAGTTCATCTGATTAGTGGCAAAAAGTAGGACAACGATTACGGAGAATGGTTAAATGGCATGGCTAGGGTTCCCTGGTTTGGTCTCTGTCACTAACTCTGCAACAATGTATCATTAGGCTTAGCCCAATATGTTCTTACATTCATAACTGTCTAAAGAAGCGAGAAGAAGTTGAACTTGTAAATAGTAGACCACATTAGTATGTATAGTTTAAGTGTTATTGCTGTATTCTTTTCCCCTGTTTATTCATGACCTGTACTTAGCTTGTTAGAGTACAAACGTATAATAAAGGTCTTTCATTCAATATTGCGCTGTTTTGTGATTATACTAGTGCACAGTTTCTATCCTATAGACGTATGGTAAACAAAGTAAAACTATGTACAAGACGTTATCTCTAAGACTTACATCGAAGTCTAAAAGCGTCGGTTCCCTTCTAAAAAGAAGATTACATCACATGTCCAGGTAATAACAATTACGTTTTGAATATATTAATGTACAGAATAGTCTAATACGACATAGTATCACAACATACCATCTCAATCTTATTCTCTCTCACATTAATAACAACATAACATTATTGGCAAAAGGATATTCTTAGCTAAGTTTGATCATAAACCTACAGATAACAATTAGTATATTCTGTAGATGCTAGGATTATTTATATCAGATGAATATTTTAAAGGCTACTTATCAGCAGTAGCAATGGTCAATATCTCAACACGATCTTTCTAGTTCGCCTCTGCTCATTTTCTACAATACAATATACCACTGGACCAGTGGATGTAAACTGCAAAGTAATCATTTGATGTCAGGGAAAATATGGTTTGCTTTCCACCACCCAAATATAGAAAGGATGGCGAGGTGTTGTTTCCTTCATTTCACGTTCTTCTGACTACGATGCACAGCCGCTGGAAGAAACGCAAAACAAGTTTGTTACAACTACGAAGCATCTTTATGTGTTTTAGTCATGTTATTAATTTTTATGGAGAACAATAGCACGGAGTTATAGCCTTAGACATTATTTGATAAAGTATCAACGGTACTTCATTCTTTATGCATGCAATCTATACAATGCATTCCTTGTACATCTTGGTGGTTACGCCTTTATATTGAAAATATATCGAACCATAAGTAGATTCAACTATCGTAATGTAGTCTGAAAATATATTTGATTCTATGTCGTCGTGAAAGAAAGGCGTTTACAATTATACTGACAGATTTTAACGAATAAGGTTGCATGAGGTATTCTGGACATGTTTGTTAGAATAAGGACGGAGGAACGTCGCAGTACCTTGTCCCCTGGCCTAGGTCTCATGATGGCGACTCTGTGGTACTGCTTCAGTAGATACTCACGACAGGCCTGCAGTTTCCTCTGTACAAGACATAAAATCAGACACAATATTCTACCCAGACAGATATACAAATGATATACAGGTACATACATGCAGATATTTGCTTATAATAACTTTCTCTTTTCCTATAATACTTATAATACTTGTATATTAATCCCATGCATGAACACCACTACATATGATGACAGATTGACTGCAGGTAGCTTAAACTACAAAAGTTAATTTGGAAGAAGGAAGAAGATGAAGTGTTGTCAATGTAAGTACAGGAAATGCCGCAATAGCAGCAATTCAACACATTAATTGCACTTTAAACTCTTATACCAAAATGATGGATATGTAGCCTACCAGGATAGTTTCCCACAGTGTTGGAGATTTGGGCACTGGCTCCTGTGTAACTTCTACCTTAGCGTCTTTCGGACGGTCCAGCTTAGCTCCTGCCTCGGTTGATCCCAGTCCTCCCCATTGAACCTTCAAGAAAAACATTGTTGATAACAAAATTCCAAAAAATTTACAGTACACGTGTTGCTTGGACGCTAAATTTCCATACTTCAGGTATCTTGTGTCATTTAGGTAGAGAAGATTATTGACTAATATGTGCTGATAAACATGATAAGCTATATTACAATACTCATAGGAAAATCTACTAATGTAACTGGATAACTATTTTTCAGTTTCTGCAAAGATTCATCTTATATACTAGTATTGAATATCTGAAACAAAAATCATAATCTTAGACGTTCAAATTCATTCATTTGTTCATTCATACATCAATCATCAATACATAGAAATCTATCAATTTATGAAGAAGTCAACGATTAAGTGTGAGACATGAGGACATGACATAAGCTCATACGGATAGAGTTTTTACACTTACAAGATCGTAACTTATTTCTTTCAAGGGGACTGCTAGGAATTCAAAGAAGCTTCAATATGGTTTCCCACAATTCACATCAAGGAGGAATATGTGATTACATTGTCCTTCCATTGACCTACTTTACCAACCATTCAAATCAAAGAGTATTTTGATTATCGTTTGCCCTCAAGCAACGACGGGTGATCATCCTAGCGTTCTGAAGGATTTAAATCTCCAATGAATCACATACGGATAATGATGCAGGCTAAAGGGGAAGAAAGACATAGTCTGCACTGCCCACAACATTCCTATAACGACCCTGGCTTTCAACATTTCCTTTACATGTCCAGATGATGTATTTGGGAGGTCATCACGGACCTACTAAGGGAGATCATCAGTCATCATTATCAGCACGTATTTGGCATGCGGTTTGATTTCACTTGCTTTCCTCATGATTTATGTTATGTTTAAAGTCTACGCGACCATTGCACTCTACATCTAACGCATCTCACTGTCATTCATCAGGTTTCTTTTCAAAGTAAAGTCCACGAGCACAAATAAGATGCGTCATTGATTTGGGCAGCAACAGGTATAAGATTTAGATACAAAGGTGCCCTTGACGATGACATTTGCCAGCGTACCTGCATACGGGACATTCCTCCTGCGCCCCTACCTCCATAGTAGGAAGCACTGACTTTGGGCCACTTGGGTTTTTGTTCGGCTACCTGCGTATGAAAAATTCAGCTTATTACAGAAACCAAACTGACAAAGAGAAGAAGCCCCCATAGCTTAACTAGAAATAGAATCATGGTACATGTAGTTGCTATGCCTCTCTTACCTGCTTATATATTGCACAGGCTCTCTCTTTGCTTCATATACATTATTATTTTTAAGTACAGATATAAAGTTAAATTAGTGGAAGTATAACTTTATGTTAGGACATGCTTTTATACCATTCTTAGCATTCGGTCATGAGCTTGCAATAAAGAACCTTTATGATTTCTGGAGATCCTCCCGTCATGCGAGGACACTTTGTCTTAAAAGCAAACGTTTTCTAAATCTCGGTAAAGATGAAATGATGGCTCAAAAACTATGGTCTACACAAAAAGTATAGATATCTTTTAAATAAGCTATAGACAGTGAAAGATGGATGATAAATTGAGACCTCTTCTTCTTCTTCTTTCTCATTGATGACCTATAACACAAACAAGATGAATTCAGTTTCCACAGCAGGACTACCATGATATTTACAAATGATACTTCAGCTACAGAATCACAGGCTGATGGTCTTATGAAATCTTGCCGGACTAGACACATAATGAATGATCGATGCACATCTTGCCGGTAAAATGTATCTCGTCTTCTACGTTACCTACAAACATCCAAAATTTACGTAATCTTCTTCAAATATCATGCGATGAGACGCTACAATCATAAAGGAAACAGGTGATTTGTATGTCAAATTTATAT